ATATGGCCGCAAGCTAACAGCTAGCAGCTTCAGGTCCGGACGGCATACCGAAACTTGAACGGAGACGTGTCCAGGGTTACAGTATCTGTTGTTAACGTAGACAATGAGTCCCCCACCTCTGCTTTTTCCGCTGGCCTGCGTGTCCCTATCGGCTCTCACGGATGTGAAACCGCATAGGTCTACGTTAGCCTGTGGCGTTAGCTCGGTTAGCCACGTCTCCGTGACGATAAACAAGCTACACTCACGGTATAGTCTGTGGTTGTTCAGAGCGCACAGTTCATCAATCTTATTCTGTAACGAGTTCACGTTGCCCATTATCACTGTCGGGATTGATGGTTTGAATCGCCTCCGGTGATCCGCTCTCCTCGCTCCAGCTTTGCAGCCTCTGTAGCTCCTCTTTATCTCAGCCGGGGATGTTGTGTCGCATGCCGGTCTGTCCCTTTGTTCTTAGTGCCAGCAGCTCCGCTCTCGAATAGATGAAGGAGCTGGTTCCAGAAGTTTTAAAAAGTGCATTATCCATCTTGTATCGCTATATCTAAGAGGTATAAGTAGAGTAACTAGAGGAAGGTGAAATAAAGTTTGAAAGCCTAGTCTAAAAAAAGTTAAAGTTAAGAAAAAGGTGCGGTGTTGCAGAGCTACTTGGAAAGGCTGCCGTCACTCCAGCGCCATCTTGTACAGTATATGTTGTATATAATTGTCTTATTCTAGCGATATTTCCAAGAAGGAAGAAGGCTCTCTTGGTAAATAACTTGCCAGCCTATTAAAGTCCTACATTTTGAGTTAAACTATACATGGAGGTGAATAATAGTTACTTTCTTCTTCTGACTAATGTTTTCTCCAAGCTGTTGGTCCTGGTTTAACTCAGACTTTCCTTTTCTGTCTTTTTTTTCTCTTTAAGGTACATCGTCTGTGGTTGCTGTGCATTCCACAACTCAACGAGCAATAAGGACTAAACCCCACGATGGCGTGCCCAACTCTGTTGGCCCTGACTGTAAGAACCCTTTCAAGGTGATGATGGCAGGTGGACAGCAGCAGCAGAGGCTGTATCCACCCCAGGAGTTGGGTGGAGCCCAGCAGCCAGAGCATTACCCTGGGTACCCCAGGCTGCAGAGGCTGGGCAGCGGGGAGCCAGGCCCTAAATCCCCTTACCGGTCCGGGTATGGAGGCATGTTGAGCCCACCTCCATCTGGTGCTAAGCTTTATGGAGATGCCTCGCAGTCTCCCAGTACAGAAACTCTGGGCAGCCCTGAGGGCTTTACAAGGACCAATCCTTGTGGGTTTCCAGGAGGCGGTAGCCCTGGCTCAGCCTCTATCCACGGAAACACTAGGACACCTCTTTCCCCGCCTAGTGTGATGCTTCACGGCTCCCCAGCGGGCCAGCCATCGTGTGCCATGACAGGAAGGACTAGCACGCCCCTCTCCCCAACGGCCACTGCCAAAAGCCCTGTCATTAACATGAACATGCCGCGGGGGAACTTCCCCCCTGGTATGGATATGCCCCGTGCAACATTTCACCATAAAACACAGCCCCCTGTGCACCCTGTACCGCCCCCTCCATCCATACCGCCATCCTGTGCCCTCCAGAAAAGGCAGTTAACGTCTGAAAAGGACCCCTTAGGCATCCTGGACCCCATCCCTAACAAGCCAGTCAGCCAGACTCCCACCAATGCCCCAACACCCTCCAACTTCCAGCCTAACATCCACTCTCAGGTACCAGTGATGAATGTAAACATACCCCCTCCCGCCATTGTTCCCTTGCCAAGCAACTTACCGTTACCCACAGTGAAGCCTGGGCCTGTGGGTCATGGTGGCCATGTTCAAAGGACTCAGCAGGGTGGTCCGGCTTCCTCCATGTCTCCCTCCCCCGTTACCTCACCTGTCCACATGGCTGGGCCTGCGCTTGGGAGAATAGAGGCCTCCCCTCATCGCTCGCGTTCATCCTCCACCTCCTCTGATCACGGTAACTTTGCGATGCCCTCGGGACATCAGGCCCCGTGTGGCACCATAAAGGTTCCTCCTCGTTCCCCTCGATCAGCTATGGGGTCTCCCAGGCCCGCCATGCCCTCCAGCCCCTCCACCAACAAAACCGATGCACTCCATCAGTACAAAGACTCCCAGCTGCTGCCCGGTATGGCAAATTCAATTGGCGCCCAGCAGCACGGCAATCCCATGTACTCTCCAACCTCTTCCTCCTCCTCGTCATCTTCTCTGGCCACGCCCAGTGCTTCCCAGAAGGGTCACCCGGGACTCCTGGGGATGCCCCTCAACCAGATCCTCAACCAACAGAATGCCGCTTCCTTCCCCGCCAGCAGCCTCCTGTCAGCCGCAGCCAAAGCACAGCTAGCAAATCAAAACAAACTCAGCGCTGCTGGCAACAGCACTACTGGCATGGCTGCTGGTGGTGTTGGTATGTCAGGCATGGGGGCAGGTGGCGGAGGTAATGGAGGGGGTGGAGGGCATCCTGGCCCCGTGAGTGGCCCTCGAGGCATGGAAGGACACAGCACTTTAAATCCCATGCTCCCGCCAAACTCCACCATGCTGCTCAACACTCCTGAGGGCCAGAGCGGCCGGGCAGCTCTCAGAGACAAGCTCATGGCCCAGCAGAGGGATCCCATGCGCAAACGAAAGCAATCATCCGGGAGCGGTGCCGTAAACCATGACAACAACATGGTGTATAGTATGCTCAGCAAGCCAGGCATAGGAGGACACCACATGCCGGGCCCCAGTGCCACTGAGCAGCTACGAAAAGTGGGACGACTCGGAAACCTTCACCCGAACACCTCCATGGCCCAGCTTCTTCAGTCCATGAGCAGCCACAGTTCTCACAACCTGGCAGGCAGTGGTCATCGTCCAGGTCTAAACCCCGGACCGGCATCCGGCGCTTCAGGAGTCGCACCGCTACACTACAACGACAATACCGGCATGGTCCCCGGTGGCACTCAGCAGAACCTCCTTGTCCAGCAGAGGCTGCGGGGTCCAGGGGAAACCCTGCAGCACTGCCAGAACATGGACACCTCTGGGGGCCACCTGGGCCCACGTCCAGGCCAGTTCCCGGACATGATGGCTCAGATGCAGGCATCCTCCATGAGTAACTGTGGGCCTATGGGGCCAGGCGGCACACTGGTGGGACCTGACGGCATAGCGCTGGGGCGCCCAAACACTAACCCCCCACCACTATCGCATCCTGGTCCCCACCCCTCACAGCTTCATAGCATGGGACGGACTAACATGGTGATTCCACATGGAGGTGGTGATGGAAGCTGTACCCAGAGCGTCTCCGAGACAGGTGAGATGAGATTAAACCTACTACTAGCTGTATGACAGGTAGAAACAGGAGGAAGGTATGGAAAATGCTGAACATCAATAATCTTAATGTTTATTCAGGATTCATTACAACCTGTCACATTGTTCAAAACCTCCATCTAGGTAACACCATCTCTATCAAGGTATGATTTTACGCAATCTCAAACTATAAGGGAAGACATTACTAGAGTGTCATTTACTGCCATGTATGTTGAATACTCTGGTGCTACGAAAGAAGTGAAATCTTTATCATTCAGAAGGGATGCATTTAATCTCCCATCGTGGCCTGTGTTCCAGAGAAGTACTAGTGGGGAATGGTCTGACAATGTGATTGGGATTAGGGCTGGGCAATATGAGGAAAATCTAATTCGATATTTCTTGGCTACATCACGATACACAATATATATCACGATATGGTTAAATAACCTCCAAAAACAAATGTTATTTTAAACCATATAGTGCCTAAAATTGCACTGGTATACTCATTCAAATCAGCAATTCAATGTTTGTTTTTTTAAATTATCCGTTCGCGGCATGTGGGAGGGAGAAAAAAACCTTATAGTGAATTACATGTAGACAGCTTAATATTGCCATGGCAATTTTTACTCTATGGTTACGATAAAGCCATTTTAACCATCGTGCGTAGAAAAACTTGCAATACATCGAGTATATTCAGTCCCTAATTGGGAGAATCTCAACATTTTTAATTCTATATATATCTACTTGTGAGGTGAAAAATAAGTCGGTTCTAGTGTAGGAACAGTGTCTACTTGGGTAAAATGTGAAACTCCTTCTTTTAGGAAACTTAGACCTTCAGACATCCACCAGGCCTGTTTCTGTAGCTTAATATTCAAGCATATTCTACTTACTAGGGGTGGGGGGGGGAAATCGATACTGTGTAGTATTGTGATATTTTGTTTGCTAATAATGTATCGATACAGGGACAGCAGAAATCGATATTTTGTTACAAAAAAGGTTTTTGTGGACTGGAACATGCTCTGACTTCAGAGCATGTTGATCCTTTTTCTGAGCAAGAATCCTGACATTCCTTCACTGTCCAAATGTATTTAACTTTTTTTTTTGGCAGCAATAAACATGACAGTTTACTTATTTTATTTAAGACATGTTTTATTTTAATTAAGTTTAAAACTTTTGTATTTAATGTAAAATTATATTTTGTTTTAATTTACTTTCAAATTCTTCAGTTCCTGAATGGGCTGCATAGTTTTCATAAATTGCATAGTTCAGAATAGCTATAATTGTACCAGATGGTTGCATTCAGTTAAGTTGGACTAGACTGTAATACAAACCGTTCAGTTTGTCAACAATAAAACTGACTGAAATGAGAGAAAGACTGAGTGTGAGACTTTGATATTAGATAAAATGAATATTGATAAAGTTTACCTTTATGTACAGAATCTGAATATCGCAAAATATTTAAAAAAAAATTGCAATAATATCGTATCGTGCGTTAAGTATTGTGATAATATCGTATCGTGGGATGTATGGTGATTCCCACCTCTACTACTTACCTGTGATAAGGGAGCCCTAGAGGTTGGTTACCAGTCTAATGATTGAGACATCACGCAATGAAAATCTTCCCTCATCAGCAACAGGCCTGAGCTATAGCTGATATTCATTTTAAATACATGTTTGACAGAGCCTAGGTCATCCTCACTGGGAGCATATATGTTGACAAGGCATACCTCCCATTCGTCAATTAATCTGTTCAATAAAATGTTATCTTCCCTCAGAGTTTCTGTAAAATTAACTTGTCTGTGGATGAGTATAGCTACACCTATTTTTCTTCCTGATTAAGGTAAGAAAAAATACACTTTTTCTGCCCAGGACGTTTTTTCAGGTGTGTTTCCTGCAGTGGTGCTATAGAGACCCTTAACATTATAACTTAAAACTTTTAATCCATCCATTGTCTATAGATAAAATAATATTTTTTTTGGAGAAGAGGATTAGGGTAGGAGGGTGAGCCTCGAAAGATGCACTGCTGACTGGGCTGGGAGTTCCATGACTTTCAAAAGTGGAGGTAAAGGGGATCTATAGGCTAATTTCAAAGGGAAAGTACATTCTCTGGGAGTTCGGTATGTACCTTTTGGTTGAGTCACGAAGAGAGATTTATAAAAATGGTGGAAATTTAAAAAAAGAAAAAAAGGCAAACACGGTCTTGTGATTCTAGTGGACCTGCTAGCTTTAGCTGTGTACTTGTATTTTTGCAGTTTTTCTGCTTTCATGTTTAGCGGTTCTTGTTTTTAAAGACACAATGAGTAACCACCCAGGACTGTCGGTACACGTAAGTAACCACTTATTTATGAAGTTTTTGTAGATTGTCCACTGTTTTCGGTGTTAGAGGAACAGATGCTAGCATGGCTGCTTGTGTACATGCAGGAGCGTGAACCTCTTGTCCAGGGATATGCAGTTTACGGGTTGTTATTCTGCCTTTACACAGTTTGGGCATTTCTCGGAGGGAGAAAGGCAGAATCACCATCATTTTTCTGACACTGTGCTTTGTGCCGAATTGCCAGGTGGCTCTGTAAATAGCTTTGCAACTGCATATATAAAAAATGAAATAAAATAAGAGAGTTTTGTGGAAGCATGATTACTCAAGAAGGACCTTCTTGAGTAATTGTAAACTTAGAGCTCAGGTGTGCTATGAAGGTCACAGGAATGTGAGATTACCGGCTGTGTTTTTGGAGAAAAATAATGGTGAAATGCTTAAAATTTTAGATGTATGTTGGTGAAATTGCCAAGATTTGGGAGAACCGTTTTCCAAGTGATCTGTTTAAGGAAAAATGTGCCTAATAACACAGATAGAAACAGAATAACCTCGACAATCTCGATTAAGATGTGGTTCCTATGGTTATGAGCGAGCTAAAACCGAGGGATTTAGGTGATAGGCCCTGAGCTTAGACCGTCAGGTTCCTCCAGTATCTCCGAGCTAATGAGCGGGAGCCCCCTCATCCTTTGGAAGGCCGGGCTAATTGTCAGTCAGCCAGTGTTTCCCTTTGTTTTATTTGTATGCTAGCATCAGTCAATGGTGTAAGGAGATGGAAATGGGATCTGCATCACGCTTTAAGGGAAGCAACCCAGATAGGGCGCTCTAAAGAGCTTCTCCCAGCAAGCCGGTCGCTATAGTAACGATAGACCCTGAATGGAGACCAGAGTGAAGCCTTTGATGAGGGTTTAGGCCTGTGTGTGTGTCTGTTGCTGCTTGTGTATTACAGTGTGTGTATGTGCATCTGTTTATTTGTGTGTGTATGAGTGATTGTATGTTTTTGAAACTGCTGAAAGAACCTACATCTTGTTTTTTTTTTTGTTTTTTTTTATTTCCCCCTCCTCTTTCCTGCCTGCTGAGGGGACTGGACTTCGAGTTTATGTATTCATTGTGTGTCCATGTGTCCTCATATGGTTTATAATGGCAATATCACCAAGGGCTGCTGCAGGCCACCTGTTCTTATCACCAGGTGCCCTGTTGGTCTGATTTTTTTTTTCCCCCTTCCCAAAGTCAACTCATTGAAATTCAGGCAGTCTTCTGTAGGCCATGAGATAGGGATGGGAGGAGAAGCATATGTTTAAATGAGATTAATTATAGCCTGAGGTTTGGTTTCAAGTCTTCAGAGTCAAAAGTACTGTTTAATTCTTCTTTTAAGTACTTAAAATAAGAATTTTAAAAAAGAATGACAAGTCATCCAATCTGACCCCCTCAGAATCTGATGGATTTTTTGTTCAGTTATTTTTTAGTATATTTAATGTAAATTTTTACTTTCACATTAGGAAAGGATGCGTACTAGGAAGGATATACTATACTAGGTTGAAATGTGGCTCATTTTAATTATTCTTTCCTGCATACAGGATATTCACATGGAAACACTGAGGCTTTGTTAAACTACAGCAAAATTAATTTTCCACTTAGTTTCAGCATGATTATTTCTATATCCTGCCCTGAGAATTAGATTCATACTGGAGGAATCACAGATACAAGATGAGCCTGATATTTAAATGTAGGGCAAAAAGAAAACCTTTCACATGCTACAACTTGCTTTGACTAGCCAAGTATCCTACATGGGGTGATATGAGCCTTGGAGTTTGGCTAAAATTCACTTTTTTAAGTTTCTCCATTCAGTTATCATGAAACTGATCCTGTATTCAAGGGTGTCAACTGCTTGTGTCTGTTTCTTTGCCTTGTAGACATTGAACTGGAACTATTTTGGCTGTTTGAACTATGATATGGGGATATTTTAAGCAAGAGTTCTTCAGATCTTCTATTTATGAGAAGCGGCCACTTAAGACAAAGTTCAGGGCTTCACACACTGGCCACGTGAAATCTGTGCAAATAATTTGTGTGTTCAGAATATATTTTGGAGTTGCCTATTGTTAATAAAGCCCTTCATACGGACCACAGAACGTAATTGTGTCACAACAAACAAAAGAGTTCAGATTTCTTTAAAAAGGGGGGGTGGGGTAAAAGGGGAGTTATTCCTTCCCACTGTTGCCAAATGCTTGCTCATAGGGGGTTGTCTAATTGTTAGGGTTCTCTCTAGTATTGTAGAGTCTGTACCTTACAGTAATAATTGCCATATCACAGCTGTTGTTGTGATATGTTGTGGCTCCATTTTCTTAAGCACTCCATTGAAGCAGTCTTTTAATGCAGACACTAAACACCTTTCTGTTGAAATATTTCAGTTTCACAGTACTGAGGAACATTTTAGCTATGTGGATAAACAGAATGACTCCACCAAGGATCAGTGTAACAATAGAGATTATTTTGAGCTGTGACTCATGTAAAGCTACTCTAACAGAGTCCAAAAATAAAAATGTGCAGCGAAAAATGAGCGTAAAGGTGATGTTTTGGTGAAAAATTGTAGGAAAATCTCCCAGTTCATGCAAGCTTTGCTCCGACTGTCAGAAGATGAAACCAATCCTGCAAGCTGTTTGGAAACAGAGGACTATATTCCACATTATAATTGAACC